GGCAGGCTTCAGTAATGCAGGCAATAAACACTCTTTTTGGCACACCCACCCATGCCAAAAAGATAAATGCCTTTTCATAAGCTGTCATTCCTATTGAATTAAGCTATTTCTGACTTGAAAAATCCCCATGCTGCGAATGAAGTGTCCTCCTTCCCTCCTGGTGTAGCCCCTTGCTGTGAAAACTGGTCACTTCAGAAAAGGTGAAGCTGGCTGTCCACGGACCTCCATCATTCTCCCCCAGGGGAACAACCACAGTAATTTGAGTGCATTTTGCTTTTAATTTAGACAAAGCTTTTATCTGTGATTCTTTCCCCTCAAATACAGTATTGTGAATCATTTTGATGATAAATATGTAAAATGTGAATAGTAGAATTAGTGTGTCTGTATCCAGCCTTTTGAGGTTTTTGGAGGACGTTCTCTTATACATAGCAATATGTAGAGCTCTACTACCCTTTCAGCGAAGTACGTCACCGTTACTGTCCTGTGCCCTTCCCCTGTTTGCCTCTTCAACATCTGGTTAGCAGGGACCCAAAGATTGCAGTGAGTCGATGTACATAACTTTGTCTATAGCTGTATTATTGCATACAACAACAATCTGGTGCTAATGTTCTGCCCTTGGCATTCTTAGGTGGCGGCTGACTCCTGCCCCCTCTGTCATAGCTCAGCTCTGGAATGCTCTGTATCGCGAGATGTCGGTCAGGGGCGTTGCTGTGGCTTTTATCCTGCCTTCCACTGTGGAAAATGTGTACATATTTCATGCTCAACGCTTACCACTTACCTCTCAGCACATCGTCCTGCTTGACTTTAGCAAAATAAATAGTGTCTTTGAGTGAATGGAGCATGTCTCTGATTTACCTATGTTACATCTTTTTTTAAGTAATCAGACTGTCCTCACCATATGTCAAATCCGGATAAATTACGGGATTATTTGTATGTGTGTCACTGTAGGTCATTGTAGCCACAGACGTTGCCACGGTTCTGCTGTGGGACAGGCAGCTGTGAAACCGCATCGTGCGGTAAAGGATCTCTATAGCTCATGAATTTGTAGACCGTCATACTCTCTGCTGCATGTGCCTGTCATCTTCCTCCCGGGACCAGCAGTCTGGCCTGGGGACGTCCGTGGCAGGCGCATGAGAGAACCAACGCAGACACAAAGATATTTTCTCATGGACCTGGTTGTATCACACGTGCGAACCTTCCATTGGGAAAGCGAGTCCCACAGCTGAACTCAGAGCAGTTCTGGGATGTGTCCCACCTCTTTGGTGGGAGGAGCCATGAAGTTACATGGCAGAGTGTGGATACAGGGTGTGAAGAATCGGGGCCAGGGATGAGCTCCATCTCCCACACCAGCGTCTAGTCATATGGAAAAGCACTAAAGCATCCTGGACCCCGAAGCCAGGTTCCCAGAGCAAGGCCATCTCTGCTGCTCCCTCGCCTGATGGACAGGAGCAAGGTGCTTGGCTTCTCTGAGCCTCTGAGTTTCCTCCCTTGTCATTGGAGAAGGGTTGCGGAGCTCAGGCAAGCTAATCGATGTTCATGTGCTTAGAGACCATGCCTGCTTCAGGGAAGTGCTGCGTAAGTGGATGCTCTTGTGTGTTCCTCACTCCATCTGGACCTGGGGGGAAATGGCTTCCCTGAACGAGTCTGCCAGAGTCATCAGGGAGAGGAGGATTGCTTTTGCTTGGGAGGATTAGAACGGTTTCTGTTCTGGAGCAGGTTTGTGGGGCCTGAAGGCTAGACAGGAAGGAGAGGGCCTCTTTAATAAAAATTCTTCAAACTTAGAGTGCATATTTACTGAGAGTGGGAAAAAATCTATAAGTTAGACTTTTATAAAAGTGGATGAATACCACAGATCTTGTTTGTATTTCTGGCCTCTAACCAGACTACTTCAGGTTGTCTCGTCTGAGTTCTGAAATAGTTGGGAGATGAGTAACTGGGGACAATTCAGATGCGGCCATGGCTTGCCACAGTGGTGCCAGGCTGCGGTCCCGTGGCCGTGTCCCGCGGCCGGGTCCCATGGCCCACTGATGACGATGTTTTGCGTGCTCATGCTGATGAATCACACTGGTGACAGTGTGGTCTTTGCTGTGGGCCCATCAGACTTCTTGAGGGGAAGCTACCTTGGGTACCCTGAGACCCAGTCTGGGACGTGGGGACACCAGACGTTCACTCCAGTTTCAGACCTGTCTGCCGTACTGCCACAGATCTGTGCCCTACAAGACAGGTGTCCTGGAAGCGTGTTTTCCGCATCTCCCGTTAAGAGAAGAAAAGCAACGCACGGTGTGTTTAGTCTTGTATGTGGTGCATCTTGAGTCATGGTGACCCACGTGAACACCCCATGAAACCCGAGCTGTGTAGTCGCAATCTCCTACCTCCCCACCAGATGCCCCAAAAATGCTTGTGGCCGTCTCAGCGCCGCCTGAGACGGGCAGGCAGAGAGGAAAGAGATGGTACACATGACTGAGCGCAGTGACAGTGTCTTTGCCAGATTTCACCAAAGCATAGAGCTGGGCTAGCTTAAACCTGGTTATCAAATTCAAAGGCGAGCCTGGCCAGATAGCGTTATCCAAAGTGGCGAAGACCACGTCGAGGGGTGTTCACGTGGCTGACGGCACCAGGAGGGGGACACGGATGGCGTCCGTGGCAGACTCAAAGAAGGACGCAGTTTGCTTTCTGAGGTGTTCTTGCTAAAAATACATCAACCCCGGGCGCCTGGGTGGCTCAGTTGGTTAAGCGACTGCCTTCGGCTCAGGTCATGATCCTGGAGTCCCGGGATCGAGTCCCACATCGGGCTCCCTGCTCAGCAGGGGGTCTGCTTCTCCCTCTGACCCTCCCCCCTCTCATGCTCTCTCTATCTCATTCTCTCTCTCAAATAAATAAATAAAAATCTTTAAAAAAAAAAAAATACATCAACCCAACCCAAAGTGAGGGAAATTCTTTAAAAACAAGGCCAAGCCTTAACCAGTTTTCTTAAAGTGGGGGCCAAGGTGATGAAAGATAGAGGATCTATTCAAAACAGGCAACCCGGCAAGCGAACACGCGTGACCCTAGGACGCGTCCCGCGGCAGTGAAAGGACATCCGCTGCCTGATCGCTGACATTTGAACAAGTCCCAAGATCGTACACTTGTGTGGATGGTGACTTCTGGCTTCTGATCGTCGCATCGTGACTACGTAAGCTGTTTCCACTTGGGAAGTTTGGGTGGAGGCTGGAGAGGTCTGTGCCGCTCGCCACGTTTTTGTAGGTCTGAAGCTATTTCAGGATGCAAAAGTCAAAAAATTTGTTTTCAGTTTTCAAGGTTTTCCTTTTGCTCATGCAAAGACCCCTTCCTCGTATCTCTCTACTCTTGTCATGTCCTCTCGGGACACGTGGAGTTCAGGTATGTTGTCGTGAACAGGATCCAATGGAGCAAGTCTGGGCTGCCTAACGTGTGTTTAACCCCAGTGCCTCTTCCACTTTATCCAGTTTAAGTTTCCGTAACACGCTTGCCCACTAAACCTTAAGCCCTCAAAGCTCAAGGTGGGGAACTGTGTATATTTGTGCGTGTCTGCTGAGTGCCTGGTACAAGGGAGCGCTTAATTTATACACAAGGATTGAACGAGCAAGTAAATAAAACAGGGCATGCAGTGTGCATCGCTGAGCGCCGTGAGATTTCCTTCTTTTTTTCCTCAGGAGACCTGCAAGTCAGTTAGGCCCTTCGCCTGCTCTGTCCCCTTTTGTGCCAAGAATGGTCATCTTCCTTCCTGTGCAGATAAAGATGCTCAAGCTGTCAGAGACTTATTGCTACGTGAGGTAATATATTCACATATCTCCTTCCCTCCTCCTCTCTCTCCTTTCCTTTTTTTTTTTCCCTAAGAAACAGGATTATACTAATCAAGTTTTTGAAATTTTTCTGTTTAACAGTGTTGGGGGGCACCTGGATGGATCAGCGCATTAAGCATCTGCCTTCAGCTCAGGTCATGATCCCCAGGTCCTGGGATCAAGTCCCACTTTGGGCTCCTTGCTCAGCGGGGAATCTGCTTCTCCCCCTGCCTGTTCCCCTGGTCATGCTCTCTCTCAAATAAATAAATAAAATCTTAAAAAAAAAATAAAGCTGGGAACTTTTCCCTTAACTATTCATCAACATAGTGTTGAATTGCTGTGTCATATCACACCATGAGGATAGAGAATGGTTCACCAAACATATTCTCTAAATGGGGTTTTTTCCCGTTTGTCCCCAGTTATAACCTCGGTTATATAGGTCATTGGGTGTGTGTTTCAGTTACATCTTTGTACATATCTCTGCTCATTTTCCTGGGATACGTTCCTTATGGTGGAAACACTAAGCAGTTCTGGTAGAATTTTGGCTTCTCCATAAAATCTAGTCCGAAGTGCCGCTTAGCTGACATTATGTGACTTTCTGGTAGTCTTGTGTCTACGAAAGCCCCATTTGAAGCTATTCCCAGTCTTGGGTCAATTTCTCACAGATTAGGAATTACTGCACATATTCCATACTGTCTTACCCATGTGAATGATGTGTCAACAAGCCTGTAATCCAAGCCTAGCTAGAAGGAGGCCCTTTCCGACAAACTAAGGGTATCTTCCCTAGTGTGTTAGCTGCCTGTGGTCTTTCACAGCTCAGTCTCGCCCTGGTGGGTGCCATTTCTGCTAACACCTGCCTGATGATGTGGGTTAGATGCCGTGTCTGGGGGGACAAGAGAGGAAGTGAGTAGGAGACAGGTCTGACTCAGATATATCTTAAAAGTGGACTCTGATGACCCATTAATAAACCTTACCCACCCCCCCCAAAAAAAAAAAAACCTGATAGGATATGTGATGAAGAAAAGAAACGAAAAAGGTGCGCTGATCAATGAAAGAACGGATGGTGTCCTGGCATTTAGGACCTAGCAACCAAGGGATTTATTTGTTTGTTTTACTTTTTTATTTTTGTTTTATCTTATCCTTAAGTGGGCCCCATGTGGAGCCCAACGCAGGCCCGAACTCACGACCCTGAGACTAAGGCCCAGAGACCAAGACCCGAGCTCAGATCAAGAGTCAGCCATCTAACCGACTGAGCCCCACCCCCCGGGCACCCCTGGGACCTAGCAACCGAGAACTTAGAAGGTGAGGACAATGGGTGGCAGAATGTGGGGACAGCGGAAGGCTCAGGAGATGGCCTTGGAGGCGAGCGGCTGGCTGGTGTGATGGCCGAGACCTCCTGTGTGCCCTGCTGAGGAGCAGCCATGGAGGAGCAAGGAGGGCATCCTTAGAGGAGCCGCGTGGGTTTCTGTGCGTCTGGCCCGGTGGCCGGCCGCCCTCCTCCCCAGACATTCCTTCCCTCGGAGACTGTGTCACTCCTTAGTGGAGGTATGGCCCCTCTTTGTTGTGTGTGTCTGACTGTGGTAAAGTAGAACACAAAATTGATCATTTTACCACACCTTTAAGTGTACAGTTCAATGGACATGCATAATGTTGTTCAGCCACCACCACCATCCATGTCCGGGACGTTGGCCTCTTCCCAAACGGAAGCCCTGTCCCCGTTGACCGCCACATTTGTGTCTCCCCCAGCCCCTGGCAACCGCTGTCCTACTTTCTGTGACTAGGACGCTGCACAGAAGCGGAATCACACCATTTGTCTCTTGGGGACTGACTTATTTCACTATAATGTCTTCAAGGTACATCCGTGTTGGAACAAGTGTCAGAATGTCCTTCCTCTTTAAGGCTGAGAAATACTCCCTTGTGTGTAGAGACCCCATTTTGTCTATCCATTCATCCACGGATAGACATTCGGGTTTCCACCTCTTGGCTATCGTGAAGGATGCTACTGTGAACGTGGTGGGGGTAGGGGGGCAGGTATTTGCTTTCTCTTCCGTTGGGTATATACCAGGAGCTGGGATTGCTGGATCCTGGGGTAATTCCACATTTAATTTTTCGAGTTTTTGTTGTGTTTTGAGTTTTTGTTGTGTTTCCTGTCCTCCATTGTGTCTTGACTCCTTGACCACACAAGTGTTTGTTTCACTCACTCTCAAAGATTAATTTGCTGTTCCTTGCTTTCCCATTTGGATGCCCATTCCTGGTCTCTTCTGACGTGGATTCGAGTGGTACCACATCAGCGTCACCCACCAGTGAAGACTAAGGAAGGTGCAAGGGGCTGAGCAGCACAGAGGGCCACCTAATCCCACGTAGAACCTCTTCAGCTCGCTCCATTCCACAACCTTTGTGCTGTGACACCAGAGTCACGTCATCGTGAGACAGCCTCACTGGGGTTTTTTTAGGTTATTGCTATTTATTTTATTGGTACTTCATTGCCCTGTTTAAAGTCCACCTTTCATACTCCACAAGGCCCACCTTTTCTGAAACTGCCTGTGTCCTCACCATCTGCATGTGCCCTCACCATTTGCTTCCCCTTTTCTCTTTCATATTCTCCAATCACCCAACATGTGTAGCCCTCACATTTGGTCTCCTTGGCTAGGGAAAAAAAATAATCTGTCTCTGCGACATGCCATCGTTCCACCCTTAGAAGTAGAGACTTTCCAGTCTGAACCAAAGACCCATCAGAACTCAGGCAAAGTGTGAGGTATACATTGCAAGTGTTAATGAAAGCTAGCACCTACTAGAACACTCCATTGAAAGGTTTCCCATCTTGGAGAGAGCATTTCAGAGTTCACAAAGCTCTGTTAAATTCGAAGGATGGAAATTACATTCAGGTTATAAGCCAGAGTCTGGTAAGAATATTTGTGGGGTTTTTTTTTTTTTAAGCTTTTATTTATTTATTTTTTAGAGAGCGAGTGAGAGAGAAACAGCATGAGAGGGGAGAGGGTCAGAGGGAGAAGCAGGCTCCCCGCTGAGCCGGGAGCCCGATGCGGGACTCGATCCCAGGACCCCGGGATCATGACCTGAGCCAAAGGCAGACGCTTAACCAACTGAACCACCCAGGCGCCCGAATATTTGTGTTTTAAACTTCCTGAGGCCAGAAAATAACCAGAAAACTACAATTAAGCTCAGTCTTTCAGTGTCCCTTGTTCCTAAGGGTCCTTTACACTGAGCTCACATAGTGGTTCCATATATATAGTCATCAACCCCAAATAGGCAAGCAATAGCTAGTGTTACAAGGAGGGGGAGAAATTAGAGCCCTTAAACATTGCTGGTAGGATTATCAAATGGTGCGGCCACTTAAGAAAACAATTTGGTGGTCCCTCAAAATGTTAGACATAGAGTTACCTTGTGACCCAGCAATTCCACTCCTAGGTACATACCCAAGAGAAATGAAAACATATCCATACAGACACTTACACATTAATGTTCATAGCAGCATCATTCATAATAGCCCCAAAGGGAAAACAACCCAAGTGCCCATCACCTGCTCAATAAACAGTAGTAGGTGTATATAGTGGAATATTACTGGGCCATGAAAAGGAATGAAGTACCGATACATCTATGGATGAACCCGCAAAACATGATGCTTAGAAGAAGCCACACACAAAGGCCACAAATGGTAGGACTCTGTTTATGGGAGCTACCCATAACAGGCAAATCTGTAAACACAGAGAACCAGGGGCCTGGGGGCGGGAGAGGGGGTTAGGGAAGAACTCCTAAGGAGTACAGCATTGCTTTCATAATTCTCTTAGGGAGCCCTTCCTTTCAGCATACAGTAGACAAACCATAAAATGGCTGTCCTTTCTACCCAGCTCCTGTGTCACAATGGCCCCAATATTCCAGAATTTTCTTTAAAGGTTTTAAAATGTTGGGTAAGTGCCTGTGTAGGTTTGTCCGTGGTACGTAAGTGGAGCCAGAGGACTTTGATGAGACGAGATCCAGACTATCGCAACAGCATCCTTCAAAGTCCTGGTGGTCTCGTCCGATGGTGGGTTGGAAGTGGCCCATTAGGAGAGAAGGGGCCGGCTGCCCGAGGGCAAAGGGGATAGCAAGTGTCTGCGGCAGGTAACCCCAGAGCGGCGGCGAGAAGCGGATCTCCTCTGGAGCCAAAGACAAACGGGTCAGTGTCTCCACTCTTCCCATTAGGTCATGGAGCTTTTAACATTTACGTGAGAGCAAGAATGTGGTCGTGTTCCTCTTGACCACAGGCATGGGTTACAGAGACTCTGGGGTTCTGTTGGGAGTTTCTGACTCAACAGGCCATCAGTGCTGGGCTGGGTCTCCATCCTACAGATGAATTCAGGTTTGAGAAGGAGTTCTGGAGGAGGCCTCCAGGGACACATTTGGCCCACTCAACAAACTTCACATGCCCGTCGGGCACCGGCCTTCTACTAAGTGGATTGTGAGTAAGTGACACACTGTTTATGCCCAGCTGGAGGGCGTATGTCAGTAAGTACTTATGACAAACACCACAAATGCCATCATAACCGTTTGTGCGGGGTGGATAGTGTTCCATCGTATGAATAACCGACAGTTCCTTTGTCCCTCCTTGTGGGTGGGTATTTGCGTTGTCTCCAGCTTGATCCTGAACCATGCTTCTGCTGATAGTTTGCTCCTTCCCTTCCATTCTTAGAATTTAATGTGTAGGGCGCCTGGGTGGCTCAGTTGGTTAAGCGACTGCCTTCAGCTCAGGTCATGATCCCAGGGTCCTGGGATCGAGTCCCGCATCGGGCTCCCTGCTCTGCGGGGAGCCTGCTTCTCCCTCTCCCACTCCCCCTGCTTGTGTTCCCTCTCTCGCTGTGTCTCTCTCTGTCAAATAAATAAATAAAATCTTTAAAAAAAAAAAAAAGAATTTAATGTGTAATTTACACACAATTTGCAGATTGCTAAAAGCAATATCCTCTAAATTCTGTTTGGAAAATATAGCCACTTTTCATAAAAATCCTTGTTAATACATAATGTTTATTACATGAAGTAATAAGTAATTTTAAATTTCTCACTTTTAATTCCTGATATGGTAAATATCAGTGGATATAAACTGTGAGAACAAGAACTCTTTGGGGTCATCAATAAATTTTTTGTTTTTTTTTTCTTATTGTAGGAAAATATATATAACATTATTGACCATTTTAACCATTTTTAAGGGTCCAGGTCAGTGGTATGAAGGTAGCTTCTTTTTATTTTTTTTTTATTTTTTAAAGATTTTATTTATTTGACAGAGAGACACAGCAAGAGAGGGAACACAAGCAGGGGGAGTGGGAGAGGGAGAAGCAGGCTTCCCGCGGAGCAGGGAGCCCGATGCGGGGCTCGATCCCAGGACCCTGGAATCACGACCTGAGCCGAAGGCAGACGCTTAACGGCTGAGCCACCCAGGCGCCCCTATGAAGTAGCTTCTTGTGTGCAACCATCACCTCCCTCCAGTATCCATCTCCAGAACTTTTTTCAGCTTCCCAAACTGAAACTCCATGACCCAGTAACCGCCTACCTCCACCGCTTCTAAGTGCAAAGGGTGGAGACCTTTTTGGTCCTGAGACCAAGAAGTTTAGGAACTGCCGACCTGGCACAGAGCCCGGGGCTCGGGAGTGCTGCGGGAGGCTGAGCCGCTACCCACGAAGCCCTCCCGTGCCCTCCCCACCCTCCCTGCTCCCCGAGGTCCGGCTCAGCCCAGGGCCTGGCGCCACTCACCTCCCTCAGAGGAGGCGTGACCTGCCTCTGTCCCGCTTCTCTCCCCTTTCTCGATTCATCGTTTACCTTTTAAGAGCATTACGTGTTTCTGGCAAAAAATTAAAACCGAGGAAGAGAGGATGCTGGGCATGGAGGGAAGGTTGTGCAGAGGGAGAGGGAGAGAGAATCCAAGCCAACTCCGCACTGAGCACGGAACCTCATGCAGGGCTGGATCTCATGACCTTGAGATCACGACCCCAGCCAAAACCAAGAGTCGGACACTCAACCGACTGCACCACCCAGGCACCCCAAGGGAGCCATTTCTATACACATGCTTTTGCAACACACATTTTCACTTAGCGAGGTATTTCGAAGAGCTTTCCTTACAAGTACACACCTCTTTCTCCCACGCAAACCACACATGAATGGTAAATCAATACGTCCCAGCGTGGGATGCCCCCATAATAAAGTCCAGACCCCTTGATGCCCTCCATGAACTGGCTTCCACGCCTGCTTCTGCCTTATCTTTATTCATTTCTATACTTGCACTCCTTGTACTCCCTCATTTGTCCCCAATTGAAAAAGTAGTACTTTTACCTTAAAACATGAAAAAAAAAATCACTAGCAATCCCAATAGAGGCATCTTGTCTTGCATTTTTCCATCTTATTTTAGGATGGGCATAAATAAGATCACGCTACAAACTTGTAGTTTTATTATCTGTGTTTTAAATTCAACCCATCACGGATGTTTTCCCACATTACGAAATATTCTACTTTTATATCTGCTAAGTCTTCATGGTGAATGAGTAAGAGCTCCTACGTGTAGTTATGTACCAGATATAATTCATCCTCCATTGCTTCATAACTTTAATGAAGCCTTTGTTACTGTTTTTATCTAAAAAATCATGACAAATACCTTAAAAGGCTTGAACAGCCAGACATCATTTTTTTTTAATTTTTTTTTTAAGATTTTATTTATTCATTTGAGACACAGAGATACAGAGAGAGAGAGAGAGAACGCATGAGCA